ATATTGGAAAAATCACTCAAGGACATTCTTATTATCACGTGCTCAGTCTCATATGCTCACAACCTCTTCTTGTTTTATGCTTTTCACGAAGCTTTGTAAAGCTTTGTGAAAAGCTTTGTGAAAGCTTTTGGGCGAATGCTGAAAAATGAACACACGATTATGAAAGTTGGCGAGTTATTGAATAAGTATAACACCGAAAAATTGTTTTCGATTCAATCTAATAAGCAGTTCGTTGAAATCGAGAAATAACATAAAAAATAATAGAAGAGCATTACATCCGTTAAATTTAATTTAATAGATTAAAATTTAATTGGTTATTTATTCTATATTTATCTATTTCTTCATAAAAAATGGTCTTCCGACCACCCAGCATTCAATATTTCAAAACATAATTAGTAGAAGTATATAATATTAAATATAATATATATTGTGACGAATTTCGCTTCCTCGCGGAAGGAAAACTAGATCCAAAGCCCTCGGCGACCGATCTAAATAAACTATAGTCAGGCGTCAGTACGTCTTCTACCCAAAACGCACAAAAACTAATTTAGATTTAATCAAAATTAATTAACATTAATTCAAAAGAAACAAAACGGCTAGAACAGTAACCGGCAACTCAGTATCAACCACGGAGGCGGCTGGGTCGAAAATCCTGCTCCAAGAAACAATTCTGAGATGATTGGGTTTCGCTAAATAAGCCAAATTCCTAAATTCGGTTACAAGACAATTTATTCGCTTTTAGTCAAAGACGATAACTTCGGGTCCGAAATCAAATTACAAAGTTCAATATTTCGTTAGAATTCTAGATAACATTATCACAAATCGAACAAACTCGATACAATTTTAAATCCCTAATCACTTCTTTAACAATTTCAACTGAATAAACTAAGTCAGATCACCAATTCAGATATTCGTCAAAATTAAGAAAATAGTCAATGTTGAAAAAAAAATTAATTAAGTCACAAAAATTAAATTCCTGAATCTAATAGAAGAATTATTCTTGAAGAATGGTTAAGTCAAAAAATAAATAGCCATTAATCTGAGACAAGGGATTTAATAATTCCCCAAAAGTCAACCCAAACAAAAAGCGGTAATAATAACACCACTGCAAACACGTGAAACTGGGATTATTCCGAGTCTCTACACTCCCATAGAATTTACTAACCTTTGAATGTCACTTTCCAACCAAAAATCACTCGAGTGTCGATAGCAACGCTATAATTCCAATTTCCGTTAAATCCAAAAATTGTTTAAACAAAAAAAAATATATAGTCTCTATAACCTGAACAAGAGTTGATGACACCAATGGTTATCGAAAATATCGCTAAAAGAATTTAGAAAATTACTTTCCCCAGCAATGGCAAAAACCCCCCTGGAGAACTCGACAGTAAGAAAATGGACCCCAAGCGTCCTAACAAATCAAACTCAAATTAATTTTCAGGATAACCATAAAAACTTTCGGAAGTGTTCAGTCACTTACCGATATCCAATAAACTCGTCCAGTAATGTCAGACCTCTTAAAAAAAAACCGAAATTGTCCTCAACACAATTAGAAGACTTTTCAAAATTCTTATCTCTTTTCTCCGCGATAGGCCAGTATAATGCGATAATCAACATGTGTATCTCAAATGATGTCCAAACGGTGAGTGATAAAATTGTCCCAATACAACCAAATAAAAATTCGAAAAAGAAAAAAAAATAGAATTAGCAAAAATATAAAAAACCCCGCAACTTCAACTCTTGTTCCCGGTGACTCTTATTAACGGTCAAAACCCAACATAACCCAACATTAATATAATGATATATAATATATAATTTTGAGCGGGTGAATACAAAAAAATGCTATCGTAGAAGCAATACTTGTATGCATTATCAAGTAATTTTTGGAGAAGTGGTAGAATTTTTTATTGGCCCACATTATAGACAAATATAAGTATTACGCATCAAGTACCTAAGCATTGATAAAAAATAACTGCGTGTTTTTCCCAAATGCTTTGTTAATCAGGACAAATAACAAAAGTAAGTGCTGAATACCTGACTACTTCTTTTTGGAATTACGAAACGAAATCAATATAAAAGATGGGGGTAAAATGAACGATTAAATTATTATTTTTTGAATCCAAAACTGCGCCAATACATCCAGAGGTGAGAAGTTGTAGAAATTAGAGGGAGGGAAGAAGAGAGACAAGATGGTAGAATGTTTGAAATGAAACGAAAAATAAAGTGAACCGTGGAACAAAGTAAACCGGTAGCCAAATGCATTCTTATAAGGGTCAAATAGTTGAAAGGCTGCAACAGGAGAGTGATTAGAATGATTGAACTTTCGTGAAGGCCAAGTCGCAAAGATAGGCACATAACAGTAATCAGGGTCGAATGAAAGAGAAAGTGGTAAAAAGTAATCCATTTGTTTCTATAATATGACGCTGATGAGCATTTAAAGCTTTCTAATTTTTTCTATTACTGACCGAGGGGGTAAAGTAGGTTATACATAACATTTTCTGTTCAGGAATATTTGAGCACCTTTCAAAATTTGATATGAAACACAGGATGTGAGAACGTTTTTTACAATTCATACAGCCGAGTGGTGTTTTTCATTTCTTCTTTTTTTTAAAATTAATATTGTGACGTTTATGAATTTTACCCGGAGGTAAAACTCAAATAATGTTCTTTTTCTACTGCTGACTTATTATTGTGGGTACTATTTGTCCGTCACTTCCTCCTCGACTAGCTCTGCATCGAGCTCACGGGGGATTCGTTCACTCGGAAGAAGGTGGGTGAGGGATTAGGAAGAATTCCATTAATTCATTAACCACTCGCGTAATTTACAAGTAAAATGATGATATATTAACTAAAGCAATTAAAATACACGACAATGGTCTAATTGGGTCGATATACGCGAGCTTAGGGAAGTCGAGAATTGGATACTTCGACTCTCGTCTTTTCTTGGCAGAAGGCATGGAGCTCAGAGGTCTGCTCGGTTCAGCTCCCGATCGTACTCTCTAGTCTAATCCAGAGGTCTGGACTCTTCCGTTGCCGACCGTATTCTGCTGTTTTCAGCGTCTTCACGACTTCGTCCAGGCTCTTTCCAAGTCTCTACTTACTGAGCTAAGCAGTCTCACCGTTAGTTTCCATTGTTATTTTTTTTCGTATCGTTGATGTCAAATCAGTCAAACAGCTCAGCATACCTAGAGCTGGACTTCTAACTGACCGTGGGACTGCTGATGCCATGTCTGAATAACAGGAAAGAGGGATCATCTCTCTCGTTTCTATCATCCACCATTGTCTTTAATTTTCAACATATCTTATTTCGAAAAACCGACGTATTGCTTAATCTAAATACGTCACAATATGAATAATTGTTTTTTTTTATGTTTTGTTTAATTATGGATATACCAATGAAAACATCTTTTTCAGATCTTTTTACTAAAAATGTGGGAGAAATAGATTTTCAATTTCATACGATTTTTAATAGGTACCCTATTTTGTACTCCCGAGCGTCAAAAATTCGTCGTGCCTGTTGCATCAATAGGGTAAAAATTTCCCTACGAGGTGGGACCTTGAAATTGAAAAATGATCTATGATAATATGTTCAAAAATTTTAATAGAAATAGAAAATCTTTACCTACGTAGACAGAAACATTATAGCAGTGAATCTATTCATACAATATATCTGAGCTAATCAGATCCAAAGCTCCAACATATATACAAAAAAATGGCTACTTATGAACACAAAATATATTTGTCCTCACTACCATGAGGCAAAGGTAGGCTCGGAGCTGCAGCCATAAAACTATTAAGGCTCTAATTATAGGCGACCTAACGTTATTAAAGATGTTACCGGATATTCGTGTGTAGGGGATAACACCGCAAGATGGCGCGAGCGCAGCATTGAAATGCAAGGGCAAATGTTTTGAATTTCTTACACGTGGGACAGCATTTTCTTTTCGATAAAAAAATAGAAGTAATATAGTGGTTCCGATTCAACATCCATGAGTGGAAATGAAAGTAAGATGCTCATAAACTTGAGAAACAAAAATTTCATCATCAATAACTTTTCAAATTTTGATTATCACGCCAAGATTTCCACTCATTTGTTCGAGTCACTCAAGCTGGCCCAAAAAATTTTTAATTCTCCTTCCTTTTAGAAAAAGGAATCTTTCTTGAATATGAAATCTCAAGAAGACATGGAGGGGGGATTTTCTATTTTTTTTACAAAATATTAGCGGTAATGAAACTTGGACAACTCATTTTTTTGCTCAAGTTCACGACCATCCCACTTTCAATTTCATCGTTAACTGTTAACTTTCAAGAACCGTATTACACAAAAACATATTTTCAGCGAAAAAAGAATAGACCGATCTGTATTAGTACCTTAATCATTTATGGGTTAAATATTTCCGAACATTAAAGAACGCTGATAATGATTTTTATTGTGAGAAGGTTGCACATTTTAATTTGACATCGAGATCGGGCAATATAGTAACGAAAAGTTTGAAAATGCATCTCAGGGCAGGTCTATTAAAAACATGATAATCAAAAAATCTATGAAAGGTACGAATTTTCCTTTTTGTAAAGTCCATAAAAAATAACAGTAATCAATCAAGAAAATGACAACAAAAAATATAATAATTTCAAAAATTTTCCCATTAGACATTGAAAATTTTCCAATTTCACTTTTCCCACCATCAAATTTCTGCCGATTATTCCCACTATTCTTGCCTACACGCAGGGCTTCATGGGCCCGAAGGGGGCGCAGCCATAAACTTTATGGCTTGAGAAAATTGTGTCTAATTGAGATCAGGAGCTGGAGTAGCTGCGAGAGCTGAGGTTGCCCACCCCTGCCATATAGCCTAATTATTAAATTATTCGTCAGAACCACGATAATTAAATTAACCCCCGAATAATTTGCCAGGAAATGCATTTGCCTATAAGACCTTCTTTATCCTTCTATTCCTTTTGGAAACATCATTTATAATCCCTTTATTTTTTGTTTGTTTCAGCGGACAGTAGTTTCCTTCTTGCCAATGCTCAAATTGTTGACTTTCCAATTGTTTATTGCAATGAGAGCTTTTGTAAAATATCTGGATATAATCGAGCCGAGGTAAGTATTACATAAACAGCTTGCCAATATGAAATTCTGATAACTGACAAAACAACAATTACTGAATGCAATTTTTTATCATCCACTTTTGAATTTACCAATAGAATCACCATTTTGATAATGTACGACAATATTGTATTGTCTCAATATGGATTTCATGGAATCTGCTAAGTTCATTGTTTCTGGATCAATATTGTTGACATCTTGTTTTTTTCCGCGGATTGCGTAAATTATATACTTTTGACTAAAATGGATTTCAAGTAAAACTTTATCCAGCTCTTGGGAAAAACAAAACTAAATAGGTAAACAACAATGACGAGTCCTTTTACACATGGAAATGGGCTTAGATGGGAAATATATATTAATTGTATGCATCTATTGCCGCTAAAAATATAATACATCAGATATATGCTGAAAACATTGGGACATATCTATATTCCACACATATATTCAGTACATATATGACATTTACATGAAATATATTTGCAGCCAAGAATGCAGTATGTTACATATATTATTATTATATATTTATATTTTATTCCCATAAGGATTAATATCAGCCATTCGTCAAGTCCATGATTAAGAATATTATATAAAATTTCTAATTTTTATATGGAGCATCTTTGTCAACTTAGCCATCCATTTGCATGTCTCTAAAAGTTTTGGTCAAATTCCACGTTTTTCTATATTTGGTAAATTGTTCTGTACATTTTTTCAAATTTCTTGGGAATTTGCGTGCGAAAAAAGTTTTCTAAGACATTACTTCTTCCTAGTTTTCAGTGAATGGTTCATGTGTGAACCTTGTATTTTTTGCTCAACTTTGTTGGTAAGGTTCTTATGCTTGAAAAATAAATAGCATAAATAAAAATGGGAGAAATAGACGGAAAGAAATAGACTAATTCAAATTACCATGAAGTATTTTCTTTTAACCATGTTTTTTATTCGTTTTATACGGTAGGTAATTACAAGATTACAACAGATATTCACATCTAAAAAAACGGGTAGATAAAGAAAATATGATATAAGTATCTGACGTTCAATAAGCATTGGTTACTTTTTGACACTTGCATTTACTTTTGCTATTGGATTTAAATGAAAAAAAAAATTGTTTACGTATGGGCTCATGGGGCCAGGCCGAATCGGATACCAGGTAGCTTTTGCATCTCCAATTTTTGTTTTATTTTTTCATATTGTAGTGTCGGTTTAAAGATGCATCCATAATTTTTTTCAATTTCTTTTATTGAACAGTTTTCGACGTGTCGATTTTTGAAAAATTTCAAATTTTTTTTTTTCATTATCCATAACTTCTCGAAAAATGAACCAAATTGGATGTATTTTTTTTTCAATTTCGGCGTTCGAACGCACTTTATAATGAAAGGATCAGAAAAATTATTAGAACTGTAACTCTATAAAATTTTCAAATTTTAAATTTAAATTGATTGATTAACAAACAAACACGTACTTACACGTAAATTTTTTAATAAAAAAGTCGGATCCATTAAACCATTTTTAAGGTTGATTTTTCAGTGGGATAACGAGGGCATGTATTTTTTCAACTTTAATTTCGACATTTCTGTTATCTATCTTAAGGTTGTTGTCGCGAGAGAGTCAGGCTTAAAATTTACTACGCTCCGGGTTGATCTTCCGCTAAGCGGAGAATACGAGTTAGAATATAAACTTTTGCGGGTGTACAGTTCCACTCGACTCACGCACACAAGAATCTACCATGCATGGATACATGTACACACAGCTAACACTAAATGGTGCCGATCATGGCAACCGCGCGCAGCGTGTCTCTGTTTTCATGTCTCTCTCTTTCTCACTCAATGTATTTATTTTATTTATGAATCGTCCCTTTGATTCGTCATTGACTATTCCAAATAGATTCGCGCCACTCGAGCAAAAAGCGTTGTTGTCGCGTCGCGCGCAACAAACCCATGCGCTCCGCCCACTGGGAGAAATAATGCTACTTTAAAAATTTATTACTCTACTACGAAACTGACGATCACTTTCTTCTTTCTTCAGTATATTGGTGGTCACTATTTCTACGTTCTGTGTTAATTTCATCAAAAAATGTGGAGTGGTTTTTTTTTTTCAATAAAAACGGTGAAATGCATTTGAACCCATGTTAATTTAAAAAATCATATCTCAGCTCAGAAACTGACGATTGGTTTTTTGTTGTGCTCATTTTGGAGGGAATTTTAAGAGCTATCTATAGCAAAAATAAAAAAAAAATCTGTCGAAAAACGGGTTTACACGACAACAACCTTAAGGTTGTTGTATGGTGATAGTCTCTACAAAAAATTTATCCGGTGCAGAACGGGTCAGTTTAGAACACAATCTTTTCACGGCATATACTCACACTTAATTGATTGCATTGTACATGAATAGTTAAAGTATAACTATATATTTTCCATATTAACTATTTTCAATTATATAAATTTATGAATTATCGATAATTATATCGCGTAAACTAAATGGTCAGTCGATTTTATTTTTTTTCTGTATTCCCTCCCACGATATATATTCCATGTTTTTTTAATTTCGAAAACTGTCGAGCCGATGATATTTAAAAAATATATTTGTATACTAAGTGATGATAACTATGTGTCAAATAAGAATTAACAATAAATTCTGAGTATAGTACATTTTTCAGACATTTTTTAGCACGGATAATTGACATGTTGAAAAGAAAAATAAAAAAAAATCGATGTCATCGTTATTCCACTAAGAAATTAGTCTTTAATGTTGTTGAATTAACCGTTTTTTCTGAAACACTGTTGTAAAATTAGTTATAAAAGGTAAGTTTTTCGCAGATTGGCGCCTGAAAAATTTGTATAAAAGCCACACCGTGGAAAACACATCTACACATCACTACACATTAGCCATCTACTGGGATGTTAATCTTGCATGTAGGGAGGAACGATCTGTTTTTCATGGCTAGGTCTGAAAATAACTATTTTTGAAAAATTTGTACGAAAATCGATCAGTACGTGTTTTTTGTAAAACAACAATTTAAATTTCAAATTTGAAAATTGTATAGAGATACGGTTCTAATAATTTTTTGATTCTTTTATTTGCGACGTTTTAAGTAATCCTATAAGTAAAAATATTGCAGTAATCTGGAGTGATCTAACTTGTAACTAGTCCTGGAGACTACCCGAATGAAAATTTCAATCAGGTTGAGATCAGAATTTAATCGGGTTAACCCTGATAATAGATGAAGATCTGATATGGTAACTGGATCAAATCCTGATCAATCATGACGGCGTTTTTTTATGAAGACTTGATCAGGTCAAATAGTTCGGGATTTGGTCAAGTCAACGTTATTCAAACTGGATAATTGGAATAAATTACAATTATTAGCTGGAAACAAAAAAAAATTAAATAATTAGGTACCCATCAGGAATCATCAGAATGAGCTCAGACTCATTAAATTAGAAACTGATCTGGTTCCACCTGGACCATTTGTGTTCTAAGAAACTGAATCAAAACTTGATGAGTTCCTCACTCAGAATCACCTGATCAGACTTAAATCACGATGATCAGATGAAAACCTGATCGTAATCCACCTTAAGTAATGCGGATCGGAGTAACTTCATCAAAATTTTATCAGTTCTTCATCGGACATCGCCTGGTCCTGCAAACCTGACGACTACTGAATCAAATATTTTCCAATCCTTAGGGCTGTCGTGCCCTAAACTCCGACTAACTGTCGCTTGGGATTTACTCGCGCTCAGAAGGCTTAGGATAATCGGGAAGATATTTTCAGGTAAAACACTCGTGTTCTTAATCGTTACATTTATTCACTAATGACTAAGATACGACACCAGAGGGTTATGGATGAGTTCGGTAACGCGTTATTAATTTGGAACAGCTGTGATAAACGTCCAACATCATGCCCGATCATCTTCTGCCTCTCTAGGAATCCAGAGGAAGATTCAATATCTCAGAATGCAGTTCTAAGCAATCCCATGGTACTAATACAGACAAATGTAGTAATTGATATTGTCTCAACATAGTCAAACAGCTCTCTCCTGAGAAGCTAGACTCAGGTCACCATGAGAGCGCTGAGCTTGGTTCACGGACAATGAGAAAGAAATCATATTTCTTCACCGGAAATTCTAAAGTACAAATAATCAACGCATCGACATCAATACATCACATATTAGAAAGTGCGTTCAAAAACGAAGATTGTTTCGACAAATTTTGTGCATTTAAAGACAAATCTGAAAATCTTCCACAATTCCAGATCTTGAAAACTATTCAATAAAACGATTTAGAAAAAACTCATGAAGGCATCGTTAAACCGATACTACAACATAAGAAAATTCCAAAAAAAGCAGAGATGCAAAAGCTAAATGGAATTGGATTTGACGTGGAATGCACCACATTTAAGTCTTAGCTGTATCATGTGCATGTGGACATTTCCGTACCGATAATTATTGCAGTCCAACAAAGTTTCCAATGGAATTAGTTTTAATGAGACATATCGTGACTGAAGTTAACCTGAAATAATTTCATAGATTCGAAATCACGGATTTCAGCCGCAATGATGAATTAACTGAATTAACAATAAATAAAATCCAAGAATCGCGAGGGAACGGGGCAGATTTGTAATAGACCCGAGCGAATGAGTTCGATGATAGGGATAAATAGAAATTACTATCTTTCAGAAAGAACGGTCTTCTGCTTTAGCTTAACAATTTGTTGAATAAATAAAGTTTTGTCAGAACCCAAAGGTATTCATGGCAATTATGAATTACAGAATGTGATTTAGTAAATCGTTAAATGCCTGAGTCAGAGGTAATAAATTCACGAGTTTGTATTTCATCGTGGATGCGATTGCATCAAGTAGTCTATCTTTGTCACGCATCGGGTGAGGCATCGCGTACCGTCCTAGGTGCTTGCAAAGGCCACAACCGTCGTCAAGGCGAAGTGTCGAACTCCAGGGGTCCACATTTACGTGGATGTTATATCCACAAATATTCGGGTTAATTTACATTTCAGTATTCTTTGATGCGGATAATATGTACCACTTCTCGTGTCCTTATGATATACAGATCATCGGCAGAATTTCTTAATAGTATTTCTGGCGCACAACAATTTAAATTTTTTAAATCTGCTGATTTTGATGAAAAACGATTATTTTTAAACTTTATATTTGAAAAACGATGGATAGAATATTTTACAAGTTATACACGTTGCAAACTATATTATTTTTTAATTCAGGGTTTCCATTCACTTCGACTTATTGCATTGATCCCGAATGAATTTGACGCGAGTTCAAAACTTGAACGTGACTTCCAGATGACCAGTCATAGAGTAGCGCCATAGGGAAGGAGTAGACCCTTGATTTAAAATAATTTCAAAAAATTTTAAAATAACTTCATTAACTTAAAACTCGTAATTCAATTACTCATAGAAGATGGTAAATTTATATAGCATTCGATACTTCGGGACGTCACAGGAAATCGTTGAATAAAATTTCAGATTAGGTAGGAAGGGACCTGGGAATTCTTGATATGGGGATAAGGGAACTATGATTTTTAATATGATTTTACAAGAAAAATTTAATGAAAAACTGTATAATCCAGTTCAGATTTTGAACTCGAGACCTTCCAATTATGCATCGGCTGCATAAGATGCTAACTTCCCATATAAAACACGTCCTGAATCATTTGTTTAGTGCAAATAAAAAAGAACCGAGTATATTCCTCAAAATACGGGTACCTTTGTACCTATAGAATCACACAAAATCTAATACAAATTCCCAAAATCCTAAATCCTAAAGTCTTTGCTACTACAACAACTGTAGCAAAAGCCGCATATAAAAATGCATTCATTTACAAACACTAAAAAGTTTTCGTAGAGCTTCGCTCGATTGCTCATCCAGGAACTGATATTCCATATTTCCACATGTGACAAAATGAAAATCACTAACAAAATATACTATTTTGCCGTTTTCTTTATAAACGTGTTTTATTTCCTAATAAAGAATATATTTCTCTTTTAGAATCTTCCGCCTCTTCTTAATACACGGAGAGAAAACGTAATCGAACCATTTGAGAGAATGTAACCTTTTACCTAATTTTTCTCGAATGGCTAGATAACAGTAACGAAGCAGTTGACAAATTGTATTGAATGCATTGTGTATGAAAATTGATTTAATAACAAATTTTGAATAACCGAACAGCAATACAGTCGATTGCATCAATCAAAGCACAAAGATCAATCAATAGCACAACATATTTTATGAATAACAAAATAATGAAAAAAGCACATGTTAAAATCATATATGTTTAATCATATATCAAGTGTTGACATTACATGGGTATAAATTACATTTGTAACCCTTTGTTTTAAGTAAATATCTGATGAGAATCAAAGAAATGAAAAGTATTTTAATCCTCTTCGACAGGTGATGCAAAAATCTTGTCGTTGTGGATTCATGTACGGCGAGCTGACTGATAAGGAGACGATAGCAAGGATAGAAGAGTGCCTTGAAGGACAGATACACGATCAATTCGAGATACTACTCTACAAGAAGAACAGTGAGTTTCATCTTGTGCTATTCACTACAGAGTAGGAAATTACCTGATAAATTTGCACGTGGCGGATAGAATCTTCATGTACGCAAGGATAGAAAAGGAGTGAACGTCACCTGTTAAGGTCATTCGGAGAGGGACGATGAAGACTAGGTTGACTCCAATTTTCTCGAAATACAAGTTCTTCCATTGAATATTAGAGGAGAGAACATTTTCCCATTTCATTTCTCCAATTTCATTTAAGCTTTTCACTTCCTCCTCCTCTAATTATAAATTTCGCTCGTTAATTCTACGTAATTTCGATTTCTAATACAAATGGATATTTTTGAATTGCCATGTTCTCTTGCACTATTAGAACATTTCTTTTTAATTTCAAGTAAAATCTCTTAAAATGTCCAGAATTTATTTTTAGGTATTTTCCATAGTGGTTATCGACAAATCAATTAATTTCATAGACCCTCATCGAAATTTCAATTCCCAAAATACTGGAAATTTAATTGAGTCCCGTGTGTAGTTCTCACAATGATATAAAGATTAAAGAATTTGGTTTTAAAGTGAATTAAAATTCACCATGTGGAAAATTGACGAGTAGCTTTCACTTGAATGCCACAAAATTGCTACCAATGTCCGTTTATAAATTTGATGATCATGATTGAACATATGATGATCAATAAACAAATCCGATTTGAAAAACATTTTGATAAACATTGAGTTATTTAATTTTATATAAACATTGAGTTATTTAATTTTATGTCCCATTCTACTACCAGTACTTGTACAGAAGGTTGCTACTTAAAATTTCGCATCGAGCTGTGAATACTATGTCCATAAATGTCAAATGCAGCTCAAGACTAGAGATACATATACCGAGAGAAAAAGGTTAATAAATATAATGCGAAAGCTTCTTTCAATAACTAAAAAACTAACTTAAAAAATCCATTTTCATCATCAAAATATTCCATCATACTCATATTTTGCCTGGAAATCGATCACACAATGGCTTTTTAGCACCGCGCACAAGGGAATCCTCCCGAAATGAGCTATAACTGTGTATCGGTACAAACTATTGCGTGTCTAAAATTCAAATTAATTCAAATTTCCGATAAACCAATTGAATTACAAGGGAAAACATTTTTCTTTCAAATAAAAAAAAAATGATAATAGCAATCTTCTATAGCAATTGCCAAATTGATCTAGTATACTTATGAAGAGATCGTCAAGTGTCCGGATACCACTACCCGTTCGATAACCGATAGACTGATGGTACATCAGTATTTCACTGGGAAATTCATAACATGAATGAACTTCATCATTATCTCTATATATGGCTTTTTATTTTCTACTACTCGATGACAATCTACCTTACCTACCTTACCATGTTTTATTTGATTGTGTAATCCCTCAAAATTCGGCAAAAAATTTGAATCCTTATGGCATCATGTCAATTGTCAAATTTGTAATTAAGAAGGTAATGTCGTACTGTCTACTACGCAATTTTCTCGATATGGGGGTTTTAATCACTGGTAGTTGTCTTCACTCTGTTTTATTTGTCATACATCAACAAAATGTTTATCCGTATTTGTCTTCTGATTTGAACAGATGTCTGTTTATACGTCTAATACAGCATTCACTTTTTTCGTTTTACCGTCGACGTTAAGAATAATTTTAAAAAAATGAGGGAATATTAATAAAAATGAAGTAAAACAATGAATTCAAGTTTTTAATATAATAGAATAATGCGGATTAATACCCGATCGTAGTAACCAAGAATGTAATTCTTTATGTTTTTAAAGGTACCCCACGAGGTATGTCTATACGCAGGTACTCTCACAATGACTATCTCGCTATATACCTATCTATCTTTCCCGCTCGCTCGTCAATTGAAAAATTAAATTTAAAAAAACAACAAAAAGTTATCAAACCAAATGTGTCTCAGTCATTTGCCAATAAGTAAGTGATCGCCAATTTTGATGCATAATAATTAACATTCTATATATATGGATAACCTGTAATTATATTAATCCCCGTAGATTTATAATTCCATTCTATTCATTGAATTAATCATAAAAATATTCTACTAGAGAAATGGTGAAGCAAATCTATATAAAATATATTTCCTCAATTCTTGCACTCGTAGCATCGCTTATTCGTAAGGAATTTATCTCAGTTCTATAAAAGATTTCATAATATTTTATTTTTCATAAATTTTTTATCAAATGCTAAAATAATGTGGAATCATAATAGTAATCTGAATAATTAACGAGGAGAAATGAAGACCGTTGGAAGAAATCACCTCTAAAATTGCCCCATGAAGCTTTTCATGCCTAAGTGATTTGCTTAATTCACAAATTTAGAAATTTGTCATTACAACCTACACAGAAAGAAAAATAGCGGAAAAATTACGGAACTTTCCCGGATTCGTGGGGTGAACTTGGTTTTCGAGAGAAAATACTGTAAGTTCCGTAAAGATTTTCGTAGCGAGCCGGAATTTTTACGAAACTTTCAGGACAATTTTACGGTACCTCTAGTACTTTTCACGAAAAGCAAGATCACCCCACGAATACGTGAAAGTTCCGTAATTTTTCCGGTATTTTTCTCTCCGTGTACCTGTTTCACCAATTTGATATTGATTAGCCAATTACATAGCCTCTAAACATAAAACGTGATTGTTATTACACTTACAAATATGGAAGCTTCATTCAAAAGTCAACGATTATAATTGAAATATTGGAATATGAGTGGGCTATGGATAAACCACGGGTAGATTAATTGGCTTACAAATTTAATCGAATTCCCAAATGTTCTATACTATACTCTATACTGTCATCCGATGAGTGGACTTTCACAAAATTTCATGTCACAATTTTTTTCTGTCTGTTATTCTCATTGTACCTAAATGAAATATCTCCAATCGATATTTTTCATTTCTCTCGAGTGCTTTTAGCGTCAAGATTCAATCAACTCATTCTCTCCTCGTCACTATCTCTTTAAATATTCTATTCGAGCCAAATATTTTAAAATATCTTACGAAAGAAATCCGCCAGAGACAGAAACAAAAAATTTGACAATGTATGCTTTTCATGTTTCGGTGATTTACCTGTGAATATATAATCTTATCGACATTACACTAATTACTATACACGTTGATTGACTGAGTGGTGGCGAAATCGCTATGTGAGGCATTCTTCGTCAATCCAGCCACCTTTTTTTCCACACATCTGAAAATCCTCAAAAAATGCTATACTATTCTATGGGTTAACGGTTTTACACCCATATATAACCAAAATTAACGATTTTTCATTTTTCGGGCGAACATGCTATGGGATTGACGGGAGAAAAATATATCGTTTTTGCGTTATGTCATTATTCAATGACTCGCAAAATTTCGAGGTGGTGTCAACACTTTTCTGCGATTTTCCTAAGCTTTTAAAAAGAATTAGAAAACTGTAGAGAAACTGCAGGGAAATGCATCGCACCACTACAAAACTTCGCAGATTATAAATTATAGCGCATTTTCTTCTGGTTATCATTGATAGAAAAATAGTCCGTTAATCTTCGATATTTTCTGAATCCGTTTTAATACTATTCGGAAAACAAACTCATATCTTGACATTTTTAATTTCTTGATTCTCCGATTTATCCGAACATGAAGAAAATTTATGTCGACGATTATCAGACTAGTGTTTTATTGATGATAACCAGAAAAATAGTATATTGCCGGACGGGGGTTATGGGGTTTTTCACTCGTGTGGAGTTGGACTCGCCAAGCCGAAGGCAAGGTCGTCAACCAAACGAGTTTTTGGGCAAAATCCGTTGTGATTTATTTTGTTCAAAGTTTACTGCCATCCCACTTTCATAGTCCTCGGAAAAATTTCGAGTAAGCCCGGCATAGAGTATCTATCCAATGTGATCTTCAGTTTGAATTAAATGTTGTTAGCCTGCAGTATATAAAAACCTGAGATACAAATTGTGTTGCGGAAACTAATCAAATGGTTATATAATAATTATTGAAAACATGTAATTTACCATCGGTAACATGCGACAAGCTATTTTGATTCTACGAAACTCCAAACGCGCGCTTGCCTGCGTACGACAATGGGTCTTCTGTTACAGATTATTAATCTGTAAGATTATACTGTTAAAAAATTAGTCCTGGAATTTTGTAGGAACCGCTTAGAATATTTAAGTACAATACATTCATATCAAATTTCCTGGTTATTATTACTGGTAAGTCAGTCAGACTAAACTTTTCAGGCATTATCGACACAGAATAGTGTATTGTGCATCAAGGGAGGAAAACAGGGCATTCTAACCCGCTTATGTATTACCGAGAGTGGTAAACACGCGGGTCTGAAGGTCCTGTTTTCCTTTCTTGGTGCACACTGTTCTCTCGGTCATTACTAAACGGAAGAGTTCGATTCTTCTTCGTACATAACAGGAGGAACGTGGGTTATGTCATCCCGAAGATTCTCAAAAACAACAGAAATTTGAGGGATAGAATAGGTCACTTTCTTGACGCCATTTGGGGAGTAAAATCAAACATTCCGTGTAGGTATGACGAAAATAGTATATTATGCACCCCCCGGGAGAAAATGCTTTTCGACCGTGGTGCACATGCTATTTTATATCCCAAGGGATAAAAAGCGCGATCGAACCATGCGAAGCGAGGTTAGAATCGCTTTCAGCTCGAGTCATAAACTCTCATTTCGTCAGAAAATACTTTACTCTATAGACGCACAGTATACTATACTTAAACTACGGGATTAAGAAGGTAATTTATGGGATTTCTCATCTCGTATATTATGAATTTGGAACCGTAAATTACGAACTAAAACCACGTAAATTACGTCAAAAAATGCCATAAATTACGATTCCGAAATCGTAAATTACGAGCACCCATATCGGGAATTACCAGATTTTCCGCGCTTGGAAGCAACTTTCCACTCTAAGACGGAGAGTATTCGCTTTCCTCCCCCTTTTCAGATAGCAAAATAGGAAGTTTCCTTTACAGGCATGTTTAAAACTAGCATTGTACACCTCGGGCGGGAAAACACTGACTTTCCGCCCTTGAGGCACAATTCGTATATTACACAACAACTGCATAATGGACTTCTTGGCTCATGGGAGTGTTATAAGACGAGCCGAAGGCGAGTTCAACAATCCCACTAGTCAAAAAATCCATAACGTACGTGTTCTGTACGCTATGTTATGTTAGAATCGCGTGATTACGAGTACCTATGGCATAAATACTATTTTCGTATTTACAATGACAAACATTTCTCGAAATTCACGCACATTTTCCTAGCAACGCCATCTATTGATGAACTTATCAAGGCTTGTACTTATGTTCGAGTTTCAAGTTCGGCTTCGATACGACTTCGATGCGATATCCGGGTTCGAGATGATCGCTATTTTTTCCATGTGTATAAAGGACTAGGTCCACACCGCGCGCGGTCATGCATAGTCAGCACCGTGGTACTCAAAACGAATCACAATATATATTAGAGAAAGGGATTCGACACCTGATTAAACAATAACTGGGGCGGAGAGTTTATTAATTAAGGAGAATACAGTTGATGATCTCTTGAATATTCTTGATACTCGAATGACAGATAAGAAGACAATCGTCCTTAAACAGACTTCACAGACTTTCTCAGATGGCCTTTTTAAGTTAGGGATTTGAAGGGGGATACACAACGCTATTCCCCGCCGATAAAGCGGTTACCACCCCGGCAACCAAATCAGGGACTGTTTGAGGTATTCCAACTTGAAAATCAAAATTGTAATTATGGCAAAGAGAATTTGGAATATCTCGTATAGGGAGAGCCCTAGTTTGCCTTTCAACTGAAGCCTCCCAAAAAGTAGCATTGAAAAGAAATCCCGAATCACTCTTGTATGTTTGTTAATTTGTAGCAATTCTTAACTGATGAATAAATGATACACAGATTTGGATAAAAAATAATGATGAAATTTATGGGTAATTCTCACTCATTGAAATAGTTTTCACAAAAATTCAGGTAATGTGATCGAAGGATCGCTGGAATTGAAAAATGGTACAACCCAAGAATCTCACACAAAAACTCTGCACACTATCCTCACACTGCACTCAAGTCCCCTATTTTGCAAAAACTACTACCACGCTAGTAACTACTAGTAACTACTTCACTTAATAATGAGAAAAAACTACCCGAATACAACTCAAAATAATTAATTGTTGATCAAACTTGGAACAAAATCATTGTAATCTTTTCACTTCAGACCAACCCTTTCACTTAGGATTCAACAAATCTACCTTTCACTCCTGTTGATCTGTTCACTCCAGATCAAACATTAGTTTCTTGATTCTATTTGAAGATTGTCTTTATTTCAAATTGAAGGAGCCAGAAAAGTGGTGAAATCATCGTAATTTAAACAATCCGTAAGGTTCACATGGTAGTTCCAATTAGGACTTTCTAATGGCCAAAGACGATATGCGTGACCAACCGTCAATTTCCCGTGGGAAAATTTTTGAATACGATAGACCACATAATTCAACATTGACTTGATAACATAGGTCTTCTCCAAGTCCCTTTGTAGGTCTGGATAGTTTCCTTTAGTTCTTTTGGGGCCAAGAAACTTTCCGCCCACGCTGAAAATGGATCATGTGAGTTTTCAGATCAAATTTGGATTTCATCTTTTCACTTGTCATTTTCCAACGTTCTCTGACTTGATGATGAATGTCTACTAGTTTTTCTTGCAGTTATTCAACGTAATGAGGAAGGTTAATGTTACGTGATATATTAATGGCTGGGGGATTACCGGACAA